GGAGCAGGAGCATGGTCTGCAGTCTGTTGGCCCAGGAACCCCCCCAGCAGTTTCATCTTTGCTCAGGGATGAGAAGACTGATTTTCTTAAGACCATTTACAGAATTAACCCAGTTGTTCAACACTTCTGCACAGCTACAGGCGTTATTTCCACAGGAGCCTGGCACGGGCAGATTTAAGCCAGTCACAGAGTGGGTGAGGTCCCTGCATGGCTGAGACATTGCCAAGGGGATCAAAATGTGGCCAAGCTCCCCAAAAAGGCCCTGGCAGGCAGCCCTACCTTCTTCTCAAGAGCTGTGACTGTGACCAACCACTGGGTAACTAAAACAAGCAAAGGAGACCACGAAAAGCATCCTTTAGAGACAGTCCTGGTCCCTTGCAGAGTGACCTAGGGCAGAGTGTTGGGCAAGGCACTTCATCTCTCTGTGCCTCCGTGCGATGTGGAGAGCAGTGATTTACACCACGTTAGCATGTGGGTTTGATCCACAGAGATCTGCAAAATGTTGAGTCAAATTAAACAAGCCCAAGCCACCGAGCTGCTCTTACCACCAAATTCCTATTAAAAAATACCTCTGGGCAGTTTGAAAGCCACAAGCAACCACAATGACCCCAGGTACAGTCATGGCCATAGAGTTTTGACAGCTTTAAAAGTCACTTTTTTTCTCTGTAGATTTCTTTAAATTTAATTTTACCTGACCCTAAAGAGTACACAGCCCTGCAAGACCCTGGAAGAACTTCCAGACAAGTCATGCCTGGTTCAAAATTTAGCTGTGCATAGATTTAAAAAGAAAAGTACAAATCCTTTTCTTTTAATGGAATGAGTCTCGCATGGAAGTTGTGCAGTATTGTGCTGAGGGCCATCAGCTATGCAGCATTGCCAACCACAGGCATTCAAAACTCATGAGTCAGACTCCCCAAAACCCTAAGACTGGTTTCGTTCCCTTTCTAGATTTTGAGCCTTAAAGCATCACGACTTCAAGCTTTTCTGTTCCAAAAATGAGAATTTTGACCAACGAGGCAAGAGCTGAGACCCTCACATTGCCACTGGGCTCTAGGAGTTGTGCCTGTAAAAAAAAATGATTAAACAGCATGAAATGAGCAATAAACCACTGCACTGCTCCCCTGAATTTGGCAACAGGACAGCCACCCCAGGACACCTCGAAGGGTAGGAGAAATGGAAACCTGGTGACAAGAAAAGAGATGTCTTTACCATTAACAGTCACATTAATGGGCCACAGCAGCAGGGAGAAGGGTAGAGTGAAAAAAAGGAACACAGAAGAGGGGACACCTCTACTATATCCAGATGCTACAGCTCTCCCTTCTCCAGCTTGTGCCCACAGGCTGCTCCACGCCTGCACCAGGCTCCTTCAAGCCAGGAGGTTTCTTCACCAAATTCCCAAGGCAGAGCAGCAAAAAGACAAGAGATCTTTGCAAGCTGGAGGGTGTCATGCTCGGGGCTCCTTAGGGCTGACTGTGCTGCCCCAGAGCCACGGCTCTTGCTGAAACCTGGCAACCTCCAGCTCCTCACCTTCATCCCTAAGTCTGGAGGGCAGGAGTCAAAGTGTTGTGGAGATGAAAATAGGACTCTGAAGTAGTAGCAATGGTAAATAACTCTTTGCAGTGATGCTGAACTGGTTCAGCCATCCGTGTAGCTTGCTGATACCACAGCACTGCAAACTGCCAACCACTGCAGAAGCTGCAGCCTTGACTCCCCATTTTAGTGTCATTACCATTATTCCAAACCTGGCAGTAACGGGGGACACTGAGCAGGTTTCAGTTCTGAAGCCATCTATACCACAGACAGATGAAAGATCATCCTGTGCTTGTCCCAGGGAGAACATACCAGGACACAGCTTGAGTACTGGCTTCAGTCTGGAGCACCACAGCATAAGACAGACCTTGAGGTGCTCGAGTGGGTCCAGAGAAGGGCAACGAAGCTGGTGAGGGCTCTGGGGAACATGGCTCGTGAGGAGTGGCTGAGGGACCTGGAGCTGCTTAGCCTGGAGAAGAGGAATCTGAGGGGAGACCTCATTGCTCTCTACAGCTCCCTGAAAGGAGATTGGAGTGAGGTGGGGGTTGGTCTCTTCTCCCAAATAACCAGCTATAGGATGAAAGAAAATGGGCTGAAGTTGCACCAGGGGAGGTTTTGACTGGATATTAGGAAGAATTTCTTCCCTGCAAGAGTGCTGAGGCATTGGCCCTGGCTCTTCATGGAGGTGGTGGAGTCACTATCCCTGGAGGGGATCAAAAAACGTGTGGACGTGGCACTTGGGGACATGGTTTAATGGTCATGGTGGTGTTGGGCTTGATGATCTTGGAGGTCTTTTCCAACCTTAATGATTCTGTGGTTCCATACTCTCAATACTCTCAGCTGGCACAGATCCTCATCTTCTGTTCCAACACATACTACTTTCAAACTATCACCTTCGTATTAAAAATAAAACAAAGCTATCTATGTCTCTCTCCTTCCCTGCAAGGTCTGAGCTGAAAGGGTAGAAGTGCTTACAGAAAGGCATGGTTAATGTTACCCTGGAAGGATCCAGGTCGGCATACCAGAACCTGGTTTTGGCATGTGGGACCCAGTTTTCAGCCATATATATCACCATTGCTGCGTGCACTCTGCTCCACACACAAAATTAGCCCTGTGGAATGTAGATTTGAAATTCACTTTCCAGAAGTACTTAAATGCAGGAGCTAAAATTTGCTCCTTCTACATTTCCTACCTGTTTAGGAGAGAAGGAGCAAAGTCCTGGCCCTTTGTTATTTGGGCTCCATCCCAGGAAGGTCTGTCTAGCACTGCCGTTTGTTTGCAGCCTGAACAAAGACCTTTTAAGCAGCAGCTCCCGACAGGAGCTCACCACCTGCCTGCCCCTTGCCTTGCAGTTTACTTTGGGGTCTCTTTTTCAATAACAGCTGGAACACGTGTGCAAACTGGTGGGATTTTTTCCCTCTGTGCCTACGGCGTTGGCTCCAAACCAAACGCCAGCCCAGGGCATGCAGCTGGGAGAGAAAAAAAAAACCCAAACCCAACAACCTGTGGAATGTTTTCTTGCTCCTGAGAGCTCCAACACTTCCCTGCGTGGGGGAGCACTTGCCGTGGCTGGCTCTTGCTGCAGCTGACAGCCAATGGGGTTTCCTTTCCAGTGGACTCCAGTTAGAATTTGGGCAAAGGATGGGAGTGAGGAGGATGCATTTGACAACTGTTTGATCATATTTTTCAACCGGTGCCATTTGGCTTGTTGCACAACCACCACCCTCACGTGTCCTGGCACGTGGTGGCTTGTTACAGAACTGCCACCTCCTTGCAAGGGGTCCCACGAGCATGAGGAGGGCAGTTTTGCACCCAGCCATGGCAGTTTGCCCTCACCAACAGGTTTTGAGCTTTGTTTTCACCTCTCTGACACCAACCTCGTGGTCACAGAAGCAGGGTGGATGTGGTCTGCTTAGCCAGGAATCCAGAGTGGTTTGTACAACCAGTTAACCCCAACCCCACTCAAACCCCCCCAGAGACAAGTCCCACTGTGCAGCGCACAGCAACCCCAAAAACCTTCCTCAGTCCAATCAGCTCATGCAAGAATAGCACAGAATAACAGATACTTTTGAGGATATGGCACAGAAAAGGAGCAGGGTACTTTCGGGGCATGCTGGCACTCGGCTCCACTTCCCACTCAGGGCTGGATGCCTGGGGAGAAGCAGAGTATTTATGTGCTGGCTTGGAGGCATTCATTTTTATGGTAAGTAGGGACACCAGAGTTTTTCACTATTTATGGGTAGAGAGATAATTTTGCAGGGGTTTGTGGCAAAGTTTCTGGCTCGTCCAGGCAGGAGGGAGGCAGGAGATGTGGCGTGAGCTGCACGGAGGTTCCCCCCTGGGCATGTGGATGGCTCCTGCAGTACCAGCTAAAATCAGGAGCCCTCCACAGCTCATCCCTCCCGGGTCGATGCTCCAACGCTGCCGTGTCACTCTCACTCCTCCACTCCCCTTCCTAGACCCCTTTCCAACTTGGCTGCAGTGGTTTAAAAAGCATTTTTTTTTTTTCTCTCCACGCATGCCTGCCTCCTGACCAGACCCCATCCCTGGGGACAGGCGAGCCTGTCCATCGGCCTCAGAAATAGGCAGTGGCTCAGCTCACAGCTCGCAGCCTCCCCCCCAAACCTGCAGCCCCAAAGGCTGTTGCTCAAGCGTAGCGTTCCTGCTCCCCAGCCCAGGAACAGCTGTACCAAAAAGATGCCGAGAATCCCTGCGAGGCTCCAAGGAAAAGATATTAACCCAGGAGGGGAGCAGCAGTGATATAATAAAAAGTCATAATAAAAAGAGAGAAGCCACTGAGTGGATTAGCAGCCCAAACGCTGCTTGGCTTTTGGTCTCCTTTCCTCCAGCTTTTCTGCAGCACACAGTGATGTGCTCAAATTCCTCCACCCCAGGGATAGTCTGCTCCTGGATTTCAGACGCATCTCCTGGAGGTGTCCAGGCTGCCAAGCCTGAGGGCATGGCTGAGAAACTTCATTGCACTTAACTCCAGGGACGCATAGGCAGGAGATCCTGAGAGCTCCTGATGCCTGTGCCCAGCTAGAGCAGTGCCACCCGCTCTTCCATTCGAGAGCACAGGAGGATGCATAGGCAGGAGATCCTGAGAGCTCCTGATGCCTGTGCCCAGCTAGAGCAGTGCCACCCGCTCTGGGTCTGCCCTCACGGGGAAATAAAGGCAGATTTGGATAGATTTGGACACCTCCTTGGGGGGGGTATGGGGGGCACAGAGCATCTGCTGGCGGGAGCCGGCGGCTGGGCTCAGAGCAACTGCTGCCGGGAGCCGCCGGCTGCGCCAGGAATTTCGCTGCTGGGGAGGGACAGGAGCGAAGGGGGCAGCTGTGGTGGGGGCAGCAGCTGCTCCCTGCCCACAGCCCTTCCCTGCCCGCAGCCCTCCCGGCCACGCAGGGCATTTAAATTTTAAAGCACACGTGCTTGCCACGGCTGTTCTCTCCACTGTCCCCCTCCAGCTCACAGAGACTCTGTCCCCGGGAGCCGCCAGCCCAACATCCATGGGTTCGTTGGTGGCCAAGCTCCTTCTGCCCACCATCAGCACCTTGGTCTTCCTCCCCACCATCAGCATCGCGGCCAAGCGGCGTTTCCACATGGAAGCCATGGTTTACTTCTTCACCATGTTCTTCGTGGCGGTAAGATGTCCCCAAACCCCTCCTGCATGTTTCATCCCCCCCGTGTACCCCCCGCGTCGGGTCTCCATCAGGAAGAGTAGCTGGATCTCACCCCACAGCGGCGAGTGTGACCCCCAGAATATCTATTTTCAGTTATTTCCCACTGTGTGTGGTGCTGAGGAGCTGATTCTTCAGTTTAGGGTGTCCTACACAGATTTAATGGTGTTTTATGATTGTGAGGTTAAGGAGAGGGGCTGGGTGCAGAGACTTGCTTGAGTTGCAGTGTTTTGGAGATGGTTTTTCTCTTTGTTTTATAGCTGGTAAGTGGCCATGCTGAATTTGGGGTTTAAATTGTATCCAGAGTGTCTTTTGTCATTTTAGCCAAAAGCACGTAGTCGAATTATTGATTTTGCAACTAACTGGTGATGGGAGCAATGCTGGAGTCAAGGGACTTTCTGCACTGGGAAAGGAAAGGCTCAAATATGCTGCTGAGCTATCAAGAAAAATAATGATTAACCCTCCACCCTGGCAGAGCACTTTGAAAACATGTGTTTCACCAGGCTCAGAATTTCCCTGCCTTCCTCACATGGGAATAAGGAGTGGGGAAGGTCAGTTGTCTATACAAACATATAACAGAGATACAAACATATTGTGTTGCTGCTGTGTGCCTCTGTACACACAGGGGCTGAGCACCTAAAGCAGCATTCCCACTGGAAAAAACTGTCCTATTTAATCACCTGGCAACACTCTGCTAAAGGATATGGAGGCAACAGCCCAGCAACCCAACCAATATCACATTTACCCCTGCTCCCCACCCATCTTAAGGCATCTCATGAGGGTTGTCACATCCCTTCCACAGAAACAGAGAAACTGAGGCAGGGAGCAGAAAAAAGGACCCTCCTGGAGTGTAAAGCTCTTCCAGAGCAGCAGGGCTCTGAACCAGGCCAGTCTCTTACTCCTAAGGATCCACCACTGAAGGATGGGAAGGGATGGGGAAGGGAGGGAAGGGAAGAAAGGGAAGGAAGGCAGCTGCCAGCGGGGTTGGGGGGTAGGAAGGGCAGCAGCTGCTGCTGTTGCCTTTCTTGTAGCATCCCACTCCTCCTCCCCCTGAGAGCGTTGGAAGCATATGTCCATTGCAGACAAGTGCTGCGACGCCCGCCAGAAACACGCTCTTTGTCTTCCACCCTTTCTTCCCCCTGTCTCCAGACTCCCCAAACCCAACTCAAACAGAGAAAAGAATTACGGCCGTGGTGCAATCTCTTCTAGAAACTGCAGCGAGCCAAAGGACTTGCAGCAATTCCCATTATAAATAAGAGGAGCATCCCTGCTGGGCCGTGACAGCGAGGATTGCTCCGAGGGCGTCCTGCCAAGCAGCGGAGGGACTTCTTCAGCAACTGCAGAGCACGCTGGTGCTACCACTAGAAAACCTGCAGGGCTGAGGGCTGGGAGGGGAAGGCCAGCGCCAGGCAAGCACTGGGAGCATTCCTCTGATTGCAGTGGAAAATGTCTCTTGGCTTGCTTTGCATTTGTGCTGCATGACAATGGGGTTTTTACAAACAACCTCATCAATGAGCGGCCGGGCAGGAACCGGCGGCTTTTAAGGGAATGCACTAATGAGTGAATTCCTCAGTGTTCAGACTCTGGCCATACAAACCCTATTTAGGCTGGACAGTGACCTGGCATCCACACGCTTTTCATCAGAACACTCGTTTTGAATAGTTTTACAAGAGTCTTTCGCAATTAGAACCATAACCCCAGAGTCCTCCTTCTGCTGGAGAGGACATCCCTGCACCGCCCGCGGCTCGGCTCGAAGCAGCTTGGTCATCAGATTGCAAGTTCTGGCACAGATCAAGAGGCAGACTAGAGCTCATCCACAAATAATTTGTGCTAAGAGAGAAGAATGCTGATTCTTAGGCAATTTGAGTGGGGAACAGTGACATTATATCTCTAAACATATTCATTACTGCGTATCAGTGACCCTGGAGTATTTGAGACTGTTCTGTTCCCAGCTAGCCATGCAAAGACTGCTTGAAACCAGTTGATAAGACCATTTACCTTAATGGTCTGTGGGTGAGGAACTAGTTTTCTGATGTTTTTTTTTTTTTTTTAACAGATTTACCATGCATGTGATGGTCCTGGCTTCTCAGTGCTGTGCTTCATGCGCTATGATATCCTGGAGTACTTCAGCATCTATGGAACAGCTCTGTCCATCTGGGTGTCCCTGATGGGTAAGCACTGATCACCCCTGGTTCCTACCAAGCACCAGTGTTTGCAGGATCTGTCAGCATCACTGCTGGGATGGTTTGTGGGCACAGACCCCAGAAATGCTCTTGCCTTTGAGCTCCCGTCCGTAAGATTTAGCTCTGAGACTGTATTTTATGGAATTGAACCTGTGCTATGGTTTAATCCATTTCTAGATTATTAATGCCTTGGAAAGTCAATGCACTTGGTGAGGTCCAGACACTCATGAAAGCTGTCCTGAGTGGTGGCTGGGGAACTTTTGCTCTTGGAGATAAACAGAGCTCTGGCGCCAGGGCTTTGTGTTCTCTGGGTGTTCCTCTGCCTTCACCAGCTCTCATACATACCCTTACAACAGCTGAATTATCTGTTTCAAATTGGCACGTAACACATGCAGCCTTGTGCTTTAGTTCAAGGCAGGACACCACTATGAGATGACTTAGTTTCGAATCTCATATGTCAGGGAATCTCCCAGTTCACTTTCCCCATACTGAGCTTGTCCTGACCTGGGGGCATCAAGAAATGCAGAATCTGCCACCTCCCTTGGTAGCATGCAAATCAAAGTGGTTCAGTGAAAAAAAAATATATCTTCCCAGTTTACCAAAAGCCTAGTCTGGGCTGACGGGAAATGTTAGATCTGCTTAGAAAAAGCAGAAATATATTTCACTTCCTTTTTATTAAAAACCCTGACTCTTGCTCTGTTACTCAGTTTTCCTTTTCCCACAGTCGCTTCACTCTCTTTTTTTCCTCATTTTGTTCCTCATTTGCCACTGAAACCAGGTGTAATATAATTTTTTTTTTCAAGCACCACAGAACTAAAGCAGCACAAAACCCACGCCTATTGTTTTCCCATTTTGTCAACATGTTTTTTGGGAGGATGTGAGTCTTTCTGACAGGGGAAGGAGAGAGATGAGGGGACAGTCACTTTCCAATAGCAAAGGCTTTGCTCAGCAATTTCAGCCCATCTCTAGAAGCTGCACACCCAGTCACCACCCCAGCCAGCCAGAGCCCCCAGCCCTCCCAATGCTAAGCCAGGGTCATCCCGCTGATACACAGCCCCAGAGCACCCACAGGTCTTTCCTCTCTGCCCCTGGGGGCTCCAGGGATGGCTCCAGCTGGGATGGGGGAGTTCCTGCAGCCCCTGAGGCCAGCATGAGCTGTGGAGCATTGTCCCCTCTGCTGGGCAAAGATTCATCCCTCCTCCCTTCCCTGCCAAGCATCCCCCTTTGAGGGCATGCAATGGGATAAATTTCCCATGCAGAGAAAAATGAGTGGAGAAAATATTAACCTTAGAAAGAGCTCTGCTCCCCCAAAGTGTGAGTCCCAAGGTGGGCACTCCACTGCTCTCACTGCCTGGTTAGAAGAGGCAATGAGGCAAATCCTCCCTGAAGGGCATTTTCAGTCCACACCAGCAGTGTCAGGGTAGGTCAGAGCCGGCCCAGACACTTTGGCTCCTTGCAGCAAAATTCAGCTTGATTGCTTCATCACCACACTCAAAAACCTTGCAAGAAAAAAAAACCCAAATCCTGGACTACAACGTTTAAAATATGGACCCGCAGGGAAACAACAGAGATTAAAATGCGGACATTATTCCTTAGCCAAACTCCCTATAAAACCACGATCCAAGGACATGGAAGGTGTGGGGACTGCAGCCCAGGGAAGCCTCTTGCTGTGGCTTGTAAAGCCCGAGAGCACATGTGTGGACGCAGCCCCTCGGGCACGCTTCCCGGAATGCAAACCCAGGCCAGCCATAACACAGCTGTGTGAGCTGGAAGAGCCTGGAGCCTACTGGGATCCATAACTTTTATCAGTTATTACCCCATTCTGGGCTAAACAAAAGCCTCTAATAATTTACTCGCACTGGCGACTTCCAGCTTGCAAATCTCAGGCAGGTGCCGGCGGGGCCGGGCAGCCAGGGAGAGCCACCAGGCTGGGCAGGGCTGCAGGGGCAGGGTGAATCCAAGAGCTGATGGTGGGCTCACCTGCTGCAAGTGTCTTTGCGACTTCTGGGTCGAGGCAGGAAAGAGAAATACGGGTGGGAAATCTCCTGTAGCTTCCACGTGCAACACGGAATCGTCATGGAATGGTTTGGGCTGTGAGGGACCTTTTGAGGTCACCTTGTCCAACCCCCCTGCAGGGAGCAGGGACATCTGCAGCTAGAGCAGGGTGCTCAGAGCCCCGGCCAACCTCACCTGGGATGGTTCCAGGGATGGGGCAGCGACCACCTCTCTGGGCAACCTGGGCCAGGGGCTCATCAATGGCATTGTAAAAGATTTCTTCCTTCTATCTAGTCTAAATCTCCCTCTTTTAGTTTAAAACCATTACCCCTTGCGCTGTCCCAATATAAGACCCCTAAAATCAGCTCCTAGACCCACGCTCAGATGCCTTGGGATGGGTTTGCCCCTTTGTGCCTCAGTTTCCCCAACTGTGAGCTGTAAGAAGGTCAAACCAGCCCTGGATACAACGCCGAGGATCCTCAGAGCAGGCAGGACAGGTCCCAGTAAGTCTTTAGGGGCACGGCTGAGGAAGGGGGTGGGTGAGCTGATGCTCCCTGCGCTCGGTGCCACGCAGCCCTGGCAGAGTTTGACGAGCCCAAGAGATCGACCTTCATCATGTTTGGTGTCCTCACCATCGCCGTGAGGATCTACCACGACCGCTGGGGCTACGGCGTCTACTCAGGACCCATCGGGACGGCCGTCCTGCTCATCACTGTGAAATGGGTACGTGGGGAAGGGCCCTGCTGGGGGCTCACAGGGGGCTCGTGGCAGGGAAGGGGCTGGACCCCGCACGGAGGGCTCCAACCTGGGCCACTGGGTTCCTCCTGGAGGTCCTGCTCTCGCAGCACAGCTCGTCAGGGTGAGCAGGCAGCGCTTCTCCTCCAGGCTGAGCAGAGAGCAGGCAGACAGCAAGCAGCTTGTGTGATAAATGCCAGATTCGATCAGTCTGAGCCATCTACCACATCTCCTGTCCCTGCGTTTCTAATCAGAGGGAACGTATTTATGGAGTTTTTACGGCTACTCAGAGCCAGAGCTGGTGGAAGATGTGTGTAAAACACGGTGATAAAGTGGGAAGGAATCTGCCTGAAGTCTGCCTGAATCTGGCTGGGACAGTTGGGCACCGTGCTGCAGCCTGTGCCCCACTCACAGCAGGTGCTGTGGACCCAGGTGGGAGTGGGGTGGTGGAGTCACTGGCAGGAGAAGGCCAGGAGAAGGGTTCAGTGATGGGATAAAAACTGCAGGAAAATGCTGCTAAGCATCATGGAAATGCAGTGCTGCAAGTCCCAGCTACACACTGTTGCTAAGCCCCATCTACCTGCTCAGCCAGCAGCAAAAAGCAAGTGGTCACAGCAAGGAGGGGCTGGGGAAGGAGGTGACCAAGGCACTGAACCTCCCTGCATCTCCAGCCCACGGATGCTATGCTGGGATCTGCTCTGCCAGAGACTGGGTTTGAGAGGACACACGTTCCCTGAGCTGGGTTTGGGGATGAATCTTGAGAAAACAGCATTGTGACCAGGAAGGAAGCAGGAGGGCCCACTGCAGCACATGGGCAGAGGTGCTTCCCATGTGCAGATGGACTCCACAACCTGGGGGAGCCGGTCTGGGGACTTTGTGTTGTGTTATTTCATGGGATCTTCTGAATGCAGCAAGCTAAATGCAGGTGAATACACTTGATGTGCTCTCCCTTTCCTTCCAGCTACAAAAGATGAAAGAGAAGAAAGGGCTCTACCCAGACAAGAGTGTCTACACCCAACAGATTGGTCCTGGCTTCTGTTTCGGGGCGTTAGCACTGATGCTGAGGTTCTTCTTTGAGGTACCTGTTTGCACATTCCACCACCTTGTCCTTACAAGGTGTAAAGGACATTACCAAGTTAGGAGACCTCCCTGTTTGAATTGCTGGGCTGCAGCCTGCCTTGGACAGAACCCAGCTCAGGGGTGTGGCTCCAGGATTGGTGTGTTGGGGTCTGGCAGCAGGGATGAGGGTCCCACCTGGGTTGTCCCTGTTCCCTGGCCTGCTAACTGCAGTGTGGGCAGGGACTGATGTGACAGCGAGTGACATGCAGGGTGATGCTCACTCTTTTCCCCCCATTAAGTTTGTTGTAAGGACACAGACCATGCTTTCTTCAGTCAGACGTGGTCCTCAGAATGCTTTGGTCATATCCAAGCAGGGTTTTTGGAAACCGGGCGTGGGTGACTTAAGGACACCTCCCTGAGCCACGGCCAGATCCAAAGCTGTCTCACGTCAAAGAAAAGACTCCCAGGGGCACTCAATCTCTTGTCTATGACCTTCTGCTCTCGCTGCTGGCCAGTCCTCCTGTCCTGCACAAGAGGGTCTGTCTGTCCCCCCCAGGG